TTGGTGGGGTGGGTTGCTGGTTGGTGTTGTGCTCTCTCCACGTTAGGGGGGGGGGGTGTCGGTCAGTGTCAGGCTCTCTCCTTTGGGGGGATTTTGGTTGGTGTTATGCTCTCTCCACAGTGAAGGGGGGGTGTTGGTCAGTGTCAGGCTCTCTCCTTTGGGGGGGGTAGGTTGCTGGTTGGTGTTATGCTCTCTCCATGGTGGGGGGGGGGATGTTGGTCAGTGTCTGGCTCTCTCCTTTTTGGGGGGGGGGGGGTTGCTGGTTGGTGTTATGCTCTCTCTCCGCGGTTGGGGGGTGTTGGTCAGTGTCTGACTCTCTGCTTTGGGGGGGGTGGGTTGCTGGTTTGGTTATGTTATGCTCTCTCCACGTTAGGGGGGGGGGGAATGTGCTGGTCAGTGTCAGGCTCTCTCCTTTGCGGGGTTGTTGGTCAGTGTTATCATCTCTCCACAGTGGGGGGGTGGGGAGTGTTGGTTAGTGTCAGGCTCTCTCTGTGGGAAAGGTTGGGGTGGCCACTGTGTACATAGCTTAAAACACTCCATTGTGACACCAGTTCCCATGACAACTCTCCAGGATTGATATTTCTTTATTTGCCATGACGACGATGTGTTTTGGGGGAATGCCCCCTTTCTCAAGTCCTGCCAACGTGTTTCAGAGGCTTGTCCCCCTTTCTCAAGTCCTGCCAACGTGTTTCAGAGGCTTGTCCCCCTTCCTCAAGTCCTGACAGCGTGATTCAGAGGCTTGTCCCCCCCCCCCTTCCTCAAGTCCTGACAGCGTGATTCAGAGGCTTGTCCCCCTTCCTCAAGTCCTGACAACGTGATTCAGAGGCTTGTCCCCCTTTCTCAAGTTCTGACAACGTGTTTCAGAGGCTTGTCCCCCTTTCTCAAGTCCTGACAACGTGATTCAGACGCTTGTCCCCCTTTCTCAAGTCCTGACAACGTGATTCAGAGGCTTGTCCCCCTTTCTCAAGTAGCAATGGTTCCACCATGGCACAAGCTTTTCTATCCAAGGTTCTAGTTGCTGTGGGCAGTGGTTCTGCCTTGGCTCCACTGTACCAGCCAGGCATCTGGTTACTCTAGGCATTGGTTCATCACGATTCATCTTCTTTTTTTTTTTTATAGGCAACATTTACATTTTGGTTTTAGGCCTTTCTGGTCAAGGATCTAGTTACTTTCGGTAACATTTCCACCTTTGCTCAAACTTTTCCAGCCAGGAATTAAATCTACTGATGCTTTTTGGCAATGGTTCCACAATGGCACAAGCTTTTCTGGCCAAATATGTAAGTGTTTTGGGCAATGGTTCCACCATGGCAGAAGCTTTTCTGGCCAAGGATCTGGTTGCTTGAGGCAATGGTTTCACCAGGGCACAAGGTTTTTTTGGCCAAGGATCTGGATGTTCTGGGAAAAGGTTCCACAATGGCAGAAGCGTTTCTGGCCAAGGATCTGGTTGCTCTGGGCAAAGGTTCTACCATGGCAGGAGCTTTTTCTGACCAATAATCTGGTTGCTCTGGGCAAAGATTCCACCATGGCAGAATCTTTTCTGGCCAAGGATCTGGTTGCTCTGGGCAAAGGTTCATCCACCATGGCAGAATCTTTTCTGGCCAAGGATCTGGTTGCTCTGGGCAAAGGTTCTACCATAGCACAAGCTTTTTTTGGCCAAGGATCTGGTTGTTCTGAGCAAAGGTTCCACCATGGCAGAAGCTTTTCTATCCAAAAGTTCTATCTGCTGTGGCTAAGGATCTGGTTGTTCTGGGCAAAGGTTCCACCAGGGCAGAAGTTTTTTTCTGGCCAAGAATCTGGTTGTTCTGGGCAAAGGTTCCACCATGGCACAAGCTTTTCTGGCCAAGGATCTGGTAGCTTGAGGCAATAGTTTCACTAGGGCACAAGATTTTTTTGGCCAAGGATCTGGTTGCTCTGGGCAAAGGTTCCACCATGGCAGGAGCTTTTCTGAGCAATAATCTGGTTGTTCTGGGCAAAGATTCCACCATGGCACAAGCTTTTCTGGTCAATGATTTGGTTACTTGAGGCAATGGTTTCACCATGGCAAAGCAAGCTTTTCTGGCCAAGGATTCAGTTGTTCTGGGCAAAGAGTCCACCATGGCAGAAGCTTTTCTGGCCAAGGATCTGGTTGCTCTGGGCAAAGGTTCCACCATGGCAGAATCTTTTCTGGCCAAGATCTGGTTGCTCTGGGCAAAGGTTCCACCATTGTAGAATCTTTTCTGGCCAAGGATCTGGTTGTTCTGGGCAAAGGTTCCACCATGGCAGAATCTTTTCTGGCCAATGATCTGGTTGCTCTGGGCAAAGATTCCACCATGGCAGAATCTTTTCTGTCCAAGGATCTGGTTGCTCTGGGTAAAGGTTCCACCATGGCAGAATCTTTTCTGGCCAATGATCTGGTTGCTCTGGGCAAAGGTTCCACCATGGAAGGAGCTTTTCTGAGCAATAATCTGGTTGTTCTGGGCAAAGATTCCACCATGGCACAAGCTTTTCTGGTCAAGGATTTGGTTACTTGAGGCAATGGTTCCACCATGGCACAAGCTTTTCTGGCCAAGGATCTGGTTGTTCTGGGCAAAACGTTCCACCATGGCAGTATCTTTTCTGGCCAAGAATCTGGTTGCTCTGGGCAAAGATTCCACCATGGCAGAAGCTTTTCTAGCCAATGATCTGGTTGCTTGAGGCAATGGTTTCAGCATGGCACAAGCTTTTCTGTCCAAGGATCTGGTTGCTCTAGGCAATGGTTCCTACTTTTCTAACTCCAGTTGCTATAACCCTGTCCTTTAGTGCTGGAATCCCCAGCCACAAACAACACAGGTAGATCGACATTGTCCATCTCCACCTTTGCAATTTTCACTGAGGATGAAGGTGCGGAATGGTCAGCAGTCAGCAGTGACACATACTCAGGGGGGAATGTGTCGTGACAGGTGATCAAGGTGACGGATGGCACAATCAAAAAGTGTCTGCACAGAAGTGAAGAGCATCAGGGGAATTGGCTACTTGAAGGACAACATGGAAAACTCTTGGTGCACAGAAATCACCCCCAACCCCCACCATCAAAGACTGATTGGCAAAGGGCAAAAACCTATAGCAACTAGCCAGTGGTTATCCTTCATTGCAAACTGTCATTTAATTGGTGGTCATGAATACACATTACCAGGGGCGGACTGACCATTGAGGCACTCAGGCACTTCCCGAGCGCCCGGGTCAGTAGGGGGCCCCATGAGATGCCATTGGTACCTTTCATAGGCTGTTTTGGCTGTGGTTTGAGTGTGGGCGAAGACACAGGGGCCCCATGATCCCCTATTGCCCGGGGGCCCCATGAGTTGCCAGTCCGCCCCTGCACATTACATAAACATTGTCCTGAATGAAGATTTATTATTATCTGTTCCTGATTTAAAGTGGAACTTGCCGTAAAATGAAAAAGGTCCATCTAATACATCGGATGACTTCATATCGCCTAACAACGTTACTAAAGGAGTGCCAAACAGAGCTCAAAGCTGGACAAACAGTTTAATACACAGATAAAATATATATACGGGAGCTGTTTGGCCTGCCAAATGATGAATTTCTGTCCATCCAGTTCTGAGATTTGCACAGCTCTGTCTGGCAGGAGACCTGATTTTTTGGGGGTTATAGGTCTTCTGCCTCCCCCAGGCTTTGATTGGATATTGAAAAGATAAGCAGCACAATCATGAACCCATCTCTCTTTCACTCTGCTTGCTTTCTCCTCCTATTGACGTGCTCAATGTTAGCACAACTGATTGGCTCCCTATGCTGTTTCTCCCTCTTTAAGCTCTAAGCTCTGCTGTACCGGGATTTTCAGAGGCCACACGCTACATCCAGTTAGGACTGACTCACATCAGGTGCGCAGTCCCGCCGCAAAATGCCTTGTCCTGGCCGTGTTGCGTTGGTGCGTGCTATAAAAGACTTTTACACACACTACTGTTTTCAGCGCAGTGCGACACAGTCCTCCGCCTCTCACCGCGATGCGTCAATAAGACTTACAAAACTGCCACTTTGTGACTTTTCAATAAAGTTTGTTTTATAAAAAACCCAAACAAACCAGGAAACAGTGCTGCATTGGCACTGCTTTCATCCTACTGCACACCAGTGGCTGCATTCTGAAGCACTTGCCGGTACTTTATGTATTCATAAATGCAGAGCTGCAATCATTTCTGTCCATCCAGCCCTACAATTTACACTGCTCCACCAGGCCGAGTTGCACTGATTTTTCTTTGACCCGGATTTTCTTTGCTGTTTATCAGTAACACAGGTCTTGTCCCTCCAACAGTGTTTGGGTTTAAATTTACTTTAAAGCAGGACTCCAGCAAAGCAAAAACGAAAAAAAAAATTGCCAGATAAAACTAGTCCAGTGATTTCCACTGCAGTCCTTTTTTTCTGCCACTAGGTGTCCTCGGTCTGATAGGCAGCATCATTCAAGGTGATCCCGGACCAGGCCCCAACCTGTGACTGGACAGTGAAAAGAGAAGCAGAAGACTGATGAGCTAATTTCTCTGTCACTCTGCTCTCTCCTTCTATCAGCATGTTCTTTGCAAATCAGCACTGCAGCACAGACATGCTTCCACCTCCTCCTTTTTTTTTTTTTACTCTGCCCTCCCCTTCTACCAGCATGTTCCTCGTCATTAGAGATGAGTACAAGCGTGTTTAGATGCTAGTCCTAACCCACCTGAGCAATCCCACTGTATGTGGCCTCTCCTAAGTGGCTGAGGCATTCCGCATCCTGCAGCTACCTACCCCTTGTGCATCTGTGGGGTGGAGACAGGGGCGGACTGAACAACTCATGGGGCCCCCAGGCAATAGGAGATTATGGGGCCCCTGTGTCCTTGCCCACACTCAAAGCACACCCAAAAAAACCTATAAAAGGTACCAGGGGGCATTTCATGGGGCCCCCTACTGACCCCGGGCCCTCGGGAAGTGTCCCGAGTGCTCGAAGGGTCAGTCCGCCCCTGGGTGGAGAATGTCTCGGCTGCTTATAATTGGCACATTACAGATGGCAACTCCCTGGTGGGATCCCTTAGGTGGGTCCGGACTAGGATCCGAACATGCCTGAGGTCATCCCTACTAGAATATGAGCACTGAAGCATGGGCATGCTTCCTGTGCTGCTTCCCCCTCCCCCAGTCTGAGCTCTGCTGTGCATAGATTGCAGGTCAACTTTAAGTACTGTACTTATAAATGCATGAAGTAAAAAAAAAAAAAAACATGAAATAATGTTCATTAATGCATAGCTGACTAACATCTTTTAGATCGGCCTGGGGGGGGGGGGGGGGTCAGTTTTTGGGCATGCTAAAATGACACACAATAGCAGAGAGGCCACTTCAGCAGTCCTGAGTGCCTTAGCCGATAATGCAAACTGAAAGAATCAGGCGCCATGTCCAGCGGGAGCATTCTTCCTCTAGATGACCATTTCACTTGATGGTCACAAAATGACTTTCTACCGGCTGAGATGATGGATCGTCCCTCACCTCCACCAGGCATGAGCTTGTAAATGATCCCATTTTCCAAATGTTTTCACTCCGGGACGGAATATGAGATTCATTATTGAAATCCCAATCAGCAGCCATAGAAAAGATTGATAACCGTTCGCCCTCGGGGAGGGGGGCATCTTCAGGTTTCTGTCAATACAATCAAATTCAATTATGGATGGAAAAACTAAAACACCAATGGGGTGAAGGTCTGCGATGGGCCCCCAGGGAGCGCTACTGATCGGGTACCCCGTGCCTTGCGTGGAGGGATGAGGGATTCCTGTAAGACTGCCGTACACCTCGATGTCACAAGAATGATCTCAGAAAGTAATGTTTTACTGAAAGAGTAGTTGATGCTTGGAATCAGGGGCGGACTGACAACTCATGGGGCCCCGGGCAATAGGGGATCATGGGGCCCCTGTGTCCTTGCCAAACTCAAAAATGCCTATTAAAAAGGTACCACACTCTAAGCACACCCAAAAAAACCTATAAAAGGTACCAGGGGCATCTCATGGGGCCCCCTACTGACCCGGGCCCTCGGGCAGTGCCTGAGTTTCCAAATGGCCAGTCTGCCCCTGCTTGGAATACACTTCCAGCAAAGGGAGTCGACCAGTCGATAGTAAATAGCTTCAAACATGCTTGGGGCAAGCATAGAACAGACCAAAAAGTTAATGAAAAACAAAACGGGCCAACTGGATGGACCAGGGTCAGCACATGCTGAAGCGCACAGTGCGCAGAAGTCGCCAACTGTCTGCAGAGTCATGCAGACGGCTTCTCTACAAACATTGGTGAAAGAATGGGTCGCTCTCAGGAGCTCAGTGACTCCAAGCGTGGTCCCGTGATAGGTGGCCACCTGGGCAATAAGTCCATCCGTGACATTTCCTGGCTACTAAATATTCCACGCTCAACTGTTAGTGGGATTATAACAAAGTGGAAGCAACTGGGAACAACAGCCACTCAGCCACCAAGTGGTAGGCCACGTCACATGACAGGGCGGGGTCAGCGCATGCTGAAACGCAAAGTGCGCTTTTGTTCTCTCATTGTGTTACCTGTATAAAAGACACCTGTCCACAGGAGCCATCAAACCATCAGATTCCAAACTCTCCACCATGGCAAAGACCAAAGAGCTGTCCAAGGATGTCAGGGACAAGATGGTAGACCTACACAAGGCTGGACTGGGCTACCAAACTATGGCCAAGCAGCTTGGTGAGAAGGTGACAACAGTTGGTGCAATCATTCACAAATGGAAGAAACACAAAACAAGTGTCAGTCTCCCTAGGTCTGGTGCACCATGCAAGATCTCACCTCGTGGAGTGTCAATGATCATGAAAACAGTGAGGAATCATCCCAGAACTACACGTGAGGATCTTGTCAATGATCTCCAGGCAGCTGGGACCACAGTCACCAAGAAAACAATTGGTAACACACTACGCCGACAAGGACTGAAATCCTGCAGTGCCCGCAAGGTCCCTCTGCTCAAGAAAGCACATGTCCAGGCCCGTCTGAAGTCTGCCACTGAACATCTGAATGATGCAGAGGAGGACTGGTGGGAAGTGTTATGGTCAGATGAGACCAAAAATCCAGCTCTTTGGCATCAACTCAACTCGCCGTGTTTGGAGGAGGAGGAATGCTGCCTATGACCCCAAAAACACCATCCCAACTGTGAAACATGGTGGTGGAAACATTCTGCTTTGGGGGTGTTTTTCTGCTAAGGGGACAGGACAACTGCACCGCATCAAAGGGACGATCGACAGGGCAATGTACCATCAAATCTTGGGTGAGAACCTTCTTCCCTCAGCCAGGGCATTGAAAATGGGTGGTGGATGGGTGTTCCAGCATGACAATGACCCAAAACACACGGCCAAGGCAACAAAGGAGCGGCTCAAGAAGAAGCACATTAAGGTCCTGGAGTGGCCTAGCCAGTCTCCAGACCTTCATCCGACTGAAAATCTGTGGAGGGGCTGAAAGTTCGAGTTGCCAAACGTCAGCTACCAAACCTTAATGACTTGGAGAGGATCTGCCAAGAGGAGTGGGCCAAAATCCCTCCTGAGATGTGTGCGAACCTGGGGGCCAACTGCAGGAACCGTCTGACCTCTGTGATGGCCAACAAGTGATTTGCCACCAAGTACTAAGTCATGTTTTGTGAAGGGGATCAAATCCTTCTTTCCCTCATGAACATGCAGATCAGTCATCATTTGTTAGACGCATTTCTGCTGAATTTGTTGTTGTATTCTGTCTCTCAGTGTTACACCGAACATTCCATTGTTAGACCGATCGTTTCTGAGTGAGGGGCGAACATTCCATTGTTAGACCGATCATTTCTGTGTGAGGGGCAAACATTCCATTGTTAGACCGATCGTTTCTGTGTGAGGGGCGAACATTCCATTGTTAGACCGATCGTTTCTGTGTGAGGGGCAAACATTCCATTGTTAGACCGATCGTTTCTATGTGAGGGGCGAACATTCAACATCAGCCGGGGAGCAAATACACATTTCCTGCACTGTATGTGTATATATATATATATACACACACACACACATATCAAGTGTATCTATCACTGTATCACCCACCTTCATCGAATAACAAGAAAAATTTTTACATTTTTAGAAGTTCCATATCGGTAGTTCTCTCCAGACAGAAGCACCTCGATGTTCTCAGAAGCGTCTGGGAGTCATCACGATGTGCCGTACCGGTGTCAGCCGCGTATTTTTCACTTGTCACCCTCTGATATTTAATGTCATTCTCCGTCTGCTCACCATTGAACTGCGGCTCGCTGACTCATGTTCCCCGCGACTGGCGAAGAGTCATGATTATCTGTCACCTGTCATTGTCATAAGGGTTCGGAAAAGCCTTTAAAACAAACCCGTAGGCTTCCCATTGCTCTTGTAAAAATGCTCACCACCTGGTCGTCATGTCTATCCTCTGGCTTCAATACTTTCTGTGTTGTTGACCAGAACAAGCAAGCGGGCAGTGAAGTCATAGTGAAGCCAATAGCCTTGCAGTGTAGGGATTTGGTAAAAAGAAAAAAAAAAGTCCTTTTTTCCTGGTACCCTATGAGCATTTAACCCTTGCAATGCAGGTGAAGGCCCTACCCATATGGAAGAGAAATATATTTCCAATATATTTATAAAAAATATAATTATACAAGCAACATATATTTACAATATATTGGCCTACGCAAATATGTTTTAACATGTATTCCAAAAATTTTAAATTGAAATATATTTTCCAAAGGCATATATTTAAAAATATATTTTTTTAAATATATTTTCTAGATATTTTTGAACATCTAAAAAAAATGCATTTAAACATAGATTTTTTAAATATACTTGTAAATGCATTCCAAATGACACTTTGCGTGTGTTCTGAATATATTTTTAATAATAAATTCACAAATATATTTTTTGAAATATATTGAATACGGCCAAAATTGTAGTATTTGAAATATATGTCAATATATTTGAGAAGAATATATTAAGAATGTATTTTTAAAATATATTTAAAATATATTTTTCTTCCTTGTGGGTATTGCAAGAGTAGTTTTTGTTTTCTCTCTCGGCTCTATGATGTAAAAACTTATATGAGATTTCAGTCTTTGGGTTTAGATCTTCTTTAAGCCCTGGTTCACATCTGGGCGGTCCGTGATTTGCATGGGCACGGGAGCCCATTCATTTGAATGGACTCCTGTGGCCCCAGGACACGCAGGGAAGAAGTCCTTGCGCTACTTTAGAAATCACAGCCCTCATGGGAACCGAGGTTCCCAGTACGTTTGCGATTTCCAGGGTGATTTAAGACCGCAGGTCCCCACATTCCTCTGTGTGGGTGGTGCGGCTGCAGGCATTTGTGCGAGTCCCACGGCGGCACCACCCGCACAGATGTGAACCGAGGTTAAAACAGGACTCCAGCAAGACAAAAAATATAAAAAAGCCCAATAAAACAAGAAATAACAAAACCAGCCCAGTGATTTCCCCGCAGTCCTTTTTTTCTGCTGCTAGGCGTCCTCAGTCTGATGGGCAGCATCATTCAAGGGCATCCTGGACCAAGCCCCAACCTGTGACTGTACAGTGAAAGGAGAAGCAGCACCGTGATGAGCTCATCTCTCTGTCGCTCTGCTCTCTCCTACTATCAGCCACTACCCACATGGAAGAAATATAGTTTAAAAATATTCTTCCCAAATATATTGACATACGTTTGAAATACTGCAATTTTGAACTTATTCAATATATTGAAAAAAAAAAAAAAAATAAATATATATATATATATATATATATATATATATATATATATACTGCATGTTGAAATGCATTTTTTATATATTACAAAATATCTGAAAAATATTTTTAAAAATATATATTTTTTGAAATATATTCTTCAGATTATTTTTAACACTCCCCAGACTCCTTTAAGAGTTGGATTACTCAGTGGATTACTGTAGGAAAGTCCTGGATTCTTTCTTGGATACACAGAATATAACTGGATATAACATTTATAGGGAAAGTTGATCCAGGGAATATCCGATTGCCTCTCGGGGGATCAGGAAGGAATTTTTCCCCTGCAGGAGCAAATTGGATCGTGCTTTGATGTTTTTTTTGCCTTCCTCTGGATCAACTGTGGGTATAGGATTATAACTTTTTTTTTTTTTTCCTATGGTTGAACTGGATGGACTTTTGTCTTTTTTCAGCCAGACTAACTATGTAACTTATAAAAAAGTCATTTTAATTTTTTTTACATATATTTGTAAATGCACTACAAAAATGTAGATTAAATGTATTTTTAAAGACATACAGTATATTTGAAAATGTATTTTTAAAAGTATTTTTCATATATTTTGCAATAAACATGCATTTCAACATACAGTGTGTATATACAGTATATATATATATATATATATATATATATATATATACTGCATGCTGAAATGCGTTTTTTTATATATTACAAAATGTCAAAATGTATGAAAAATATTTTTATTCTTCAGATTTTTTTTAACATATAAATAAAGTCATTTTAAACATATATTTTTTACATATATTTGTAAATGCACTGCAAAAATGTAGATTAAATGTATTTTTAAAGACATACAGTATATTTTAAAAAATGTTTTTAAAGATATTTTTCATATATTTTGTAATACAAATGCATTTCAACATACAGTATATATATATATTTATATATATATATATATATATATATATATACACACACACACATATATATTTACAGTGGGGATCGAAAGTTTGGGCACCCCAGCTAAAAATGTGTATTAATGTGCATAAAGAAGCCAAGGAAAGATGGAAAAATCTCCAAAAGGCATCAAATTACAGATTAGATATTCTTATAATATGTCAACAAAAGTTAGATTTTATTTCCATCATTTACACTTTCAAAATATATATTTCAAACTGTATATATATATATATATACACACACACACACATAACCCTAACCCTTTAACCACGGGAGGGGGTTAAAGGGTTAGTTCTGAGAAGGTGAACTAACCCATTAATCACCTCCCATCCAGCAGTTGTATATAAACGGCCGGACGGTGGCACTGCAGGGATGGGTGGCCATTTATGAACGTCCTCCCCGCTTCCCTGCTTGTGCGTGCTCCCTGGGAGTGCGCAGCACTGCGATACAATGCCCGCTGTGTCCACCAAACACCGATCCCTATACAGGACCTCTGTGTGAGGTCCCCATCATGTGATCACTGATTGGCCAAACAGTGATCACATGCAGAGTAGTAAGCAATGATGTCACTTTTGACATGACATGACAGGAATGCAGCCAGAGAAAAGGAGAAATTATTGCTTTTACAGCCTTTATGGGTGTAAAAGCAATCAGTGTAAAAAAAAAAAAAATCTTCATCACCCCCCACAAGTAGTACAGGATCACCATGGTGACACCACACTGCTAGGGTGACAGTATGTAAAAAAAAAAACATTAATAATAATTTAAAAAAAAATAAATAAAAATGTAAAAAAAAAAAATTTTTAAAATTTTTATTTTTAGTTATAACCTAATTTGGGGTTTTTTTTTTTTTTTTACTAAAAAGATAGCTGAATACATTTTGGCCAAGATTTATGAAGAAAGATTATTTGTTTGCAAAATGTGATAAGAAAAAAATAATGTTTTATCTGTCTCCAAAAAATGCTAAAAAATTCATACAGGTACAGTGTCGCATGACTACGCAAATGTTATTCAAAGTGTGATCGCGCTGAAAGCTGAAAATTGGCCTTGACAGGAAGAGGGTGGAAGTGTCCGGACTGGAAGGGGGTGAAAGTGTCCGGACTGGAAGGGGGTGAAAGTGTCCGGACTGGAAGGCGGGGAAAGTGTCCGGACTGGAAGGGGGTGAAAGTGTCCGGACTGGAAGGTGAGGGAAGTGTCTGGACTGGAAGGGGGTGAAAGTGTCCGGACTGGAAGGGGGTGATAGCATCCGGACTGAAAGTGGTGAAAGCGTCCGGACTGGAAGAGGGTGAAAGTGTCTGGACTGGAAGGGGGTGAAAGTGTCTGGACTGGAAGGAGGGGGAAAGTGTCCGGACTGGAATGGGGGGAAAGTGTCCGGACTGGGGGGGGGGGGGGGAAGTGTCCGGACTGGAAGGGGGGGGAGAGTGTCCGGACTGGAAGGAGGGGAAAGTGTCCGGACTGGAAGGGGGGGGGAGAGTGTCCGGACTGGAAGGGGGTGAAAGTGTCCGGACTGGAAGGTGAGGGAAAGTGTCTGGACTGGAAGGGGGTGAAAGTGTCCGGACTGGAAGGGGGGTTAAAGCATCCGGACTGGAAGGGGGTGATAGCATCCGGACTGGAAAGTGGTGAAAGCGTCCGGACTGGAAGAGGGTGAAAGTGTCTGGACTGGAAGGGGGTGAAAGTGTCTGGACTGGAAGGAGGGGAAAGTGTCCGGACTGGAATGGGGGGGAAAGTGTCCGGACTGGAGGGGGGGGGGGGAAGTGTCCGGACTGGAAGGGGGGGGAGAGTGTCCGGACTGGAAGGAGGGGAAAGTGTCCGGACTGGAAGGGGGGGGAGAGTGTCCGGACTGGAAGGGGGGGAAAGTGTCCAGACTGGAAGGGGGTGAAAGTGTCCGGACTGGAAGGGGGTGAAAGCGTCCGGACTGGAAGGGGGGGAAGTGTCCAGACTGGAAGGGGGGGTGAAAGTGTCCGGACTGGAAGGGGGTGAAAGTGTCCGGACTGGAAGGGGGTGAAAGTGCCTGGACTGGAAGGGGGTGAAAGTGCCTGGACTGGAAGGGGGTGAAAGTGTCCGGACTGGAAGGGGGGGAAAGTGTCCGGACTGGAAGGGGGTGAAAGCGTCCGGACTGGAAGGGGGTGAAAGCGTCCGGACTGGAAGGGGGGGAAAGCGTCCGGACTGGAAGGGGGTGAAAGCGTCCGGACTGGAATGGGGTGAAAGCGTCCGGACTGGAAGGGGGTGAAAGCGTCTGGACTGGAAGGGGGGGAAAAGTGTCCGGACTGGAAGGGGGTGAAAGTGTCCGGACTGGAAGGGGGCGGAAAGTGTCCGGACTGGAAGGGGGGAAAAGTGTCTGGACTGGAAGGGGGGGAAAGTGTCTGGACTGGAAGGGGGGGAAAGTGTCCGAACAGGAAGGGGGTGAAAGTGTCCAGACTGGAAGGGGGGGGAAAGTGTCTGGACTGGAAGAGGGGGAAAGTGTCCGGACTGGAAGGGGGGGTGGAAAGTGTCCGGACTGGAAGGGGGTGAAAGTGTCCGGACTGGAAGGGGTTAAACTAAAATAGAGAGCAAATATAAATCTTCCACAAGTCTGCAACTGCCTTCTTTCTCTCCAACGAGGTGCATGGCGGATTCCCGTCTCCTATTTCGGTGATGTTGTCAAAAGGAAACGTTTGAAGCTTTCATCCTCTCCATAACCTTCTGCTGTCTGACAGCAAATTGAAAGTGAATGGAGGAGACATTGAGGCGAGCTGAGGCGAGCGAGAGAGGACATGAATGCAAGACAATGGTGCCGTTGGAGCCGTCTCCTCTCCTGCCTGTGGGGCCCTTTGTGTACGGGAGGCCAGATGGCAAGGAGGGAGGTATTAAACTTTAACACAGGTGTCATAACAACTAGACATCACTACAATGCCAAAGCCATCGGCCCAGGTAATTCAAGCTTTATGTCAAGTATGGGGAAAATGGAGGGTACGCAGCATGGCACCAATGAACCTGAACTATGGACTCTGCTTGGAGGCCAGCTTCATATCGTATGATCGGGACTTGTCAAGGTGATGCCGCTACAAAACAAGGCCAAGTAAGAGGATTAAGAGAACAAGGACAATTAAGGAAAAGAAAATAAAACCAACATTTCTTGTGTATTACATTACCTGGATCAGAAGTCCTCAACTCTTTTCGAGACCAAGGCCCGGTAAATTCTTTCAAAACCTTCCATGCTTCATCAGTAGATAATACACAATCAGGGGCGGACTAACAACTCATGGGGCCACCAGGTAATAGGGGATCATGGGGCCCCTGTGTCCTTGCCCAAACTCAAAAAAGCCTATGAAAAAGGTACCAGGGGCATCTCATGGGGCCCCCTACTGACCCCGGGCTCTCGGGCAGTGCCCGCCCCTGTACACAATAAATGCTGGGTGGAGGTGTGGGAGATTGAGGGGCACTGTGTAGGCTGAGGGATCCCAGGTGGCCTGGAACATTGTGGGCCACTATGGGAGGATGGGGGGTACTGTGGAGCCTGAGGGATCCCAGGGGGCCTGGAACATTGTTGGTCACTATGAGAGGATGAGGGGCACTGTGGAGGCTGAGGGATCCCAGGGGGCCTGGAACATTGTGGGTCACTATGAGAGGATGGGGGGCATTGTGGAGGCTGAGGGATCCCAGGGGGCCTGAAACATTGTGGGTCACTATGAGAGGATGGGGGGCACTGTGGAGGTTTAGGGCTCTCGGGGACCAGGGAGCATTGTGGGTCACTATGAAAGGTTGGGGGGCACTGTGAAGCAGGGGCGGACTGATCATTTGGGCACTCGGACACTGCCCGAGGGCCCAGGGTCAGTAGGGGGCCCCATGAGATGCCCCTGGTACCTTTCATAGGCTTTTTTCGGTGTGGTTTCAGTGTGGGCAAGGACACAGGGGTCCCATGATTCCCTATTGCCCGGGGGCCCCATGAGTTGTCAGTCAGCACCTGCTGTGGAGGCTGAGGGATACCAGAGGGCCTGGAACATTGTGGGCCACTTTGGGAGGATGGGGGGCACTGTGTAGGCTAAGGGATCCCAGAGGGCCTGGAACATTATGGGTCACTATGAGAGGTTGGGGGGCACTGTGGAGGCTGAGGGATCCCAGGAGGCATGGAACATTGTGCGCCACTACGGGAGGATGGGGGGGCACTGTGGAGGCTGAGGGATCCCAGAGGGTCTGGAACATTGTGGGCCACTATGGGAGGATGGGGGGGCACTGTGGAGGCTGAGGGATCCAATGGAGCCTGGAACATTGTGAGTCACTATTTATTTTATTTATTTATTTCAGGTAATTATATAGCGCTGTCAATGTACGCAGCGCTTTACATATCTATTGTATATTCCCATCAGTCCCTAACCCTCAAGGGGCCACTGTGGGAGGTTAAGGGATCTGCAGCTGGCTGGGGGCCCTAGGAGAGGGGAGGACACAGCCCCGTGGTTAAGGACCACTGACATGCCATAATAGTAGATAATACAGTTTATATACACACAATAAATGCTGGGTGGGGCTCTGGGAGGTTGGTGGGCACTGTGGAGGCTACGGGTCTTGAACAATGTGGGAGAGTTGGTGGGAACTGTGGGGTTGAGGGCTCTTAGGGAGCCTGGAAGCCATGACTGGAAACAATAACTGAAATCAATGGCTTCCTATACCCATCAATGAGTTTCTTCCACCTCTCTACTGGAATTTTGGATCGCTCTTCTTTCACCAACTGCTCCAGGTCTCCCAGATTGGAAGGTTCCTTTTCCCAACTGCTGTTCTGAGATCTCTCCACAGGAGCTCTATGGGATGGAGATCTAAACCCATTACTGTCCAGTTCAGTCCTCTCCAGCGCTTTGTCTGAAACCATCTCTTGGGGCTTTTTGACGTGTGCTTTGGGTCATTGTCTTGCTGTAAGACCCATGACCTCTGATGGACACCCAGCTTTCTGACACCGGGCCCTACATTGCACCCCGGAATTCTTTGGTAGTCTTCAGATTTCATCATGCCATGCACACGGCCATGCACACGGCCAAGACATCCAGTGCCTGAGGCAGCAAAGCACCCCCAAAATATCAGTGACCCCCCCCCACCATGTGTGACTTTTCTTTAAAGGCCTCATTGCTTTTTCTGAAAACAGTAGAATGATGGGCTTTACCAAAAAGATGGGATTTTGTTTTGTATGTCCACAGCACATTCTCCCAGAAGGATTTTGGCTTCCTCAGGTAAGTTTTGGCAAACTCCAGTCTGGCTTTTTATGTCTCTGTGTCAGCAGTGGGGTCCTCCTGGATCTCCTACCATAGAGTCCCTTTTCATTCAGATAGCGACATATAGTGTGAGCGGACACAGTTGTACCTGAAGGTCAGCTGGAATTTGTCTGGAAGTTGATCGAGGTTCTTTATCCACCAATCGAACAATCCTTCTTTGCAATCTTTGATCAATTTTTCTCTTTCATCCACGTACAAATTAGCTACAGTGGCATGGGCTGTAAATTTCTTGACAATGTTGCGCACAGTGGACACAGGAACATTAAAATCTCTGGAGATGAACCTGTAAATTTGAGATTACCCATGCTTTTCCACCATTTTTGTTCTCAAATCCTCACACAATTCTTTGTTGCTCTTCCTCTTCTCCATGCTCCATGTGGCACACAGAGACACACAACAGAAAGGTGGAGGCCATTTTTCACCATTGTAACTGGCTGCCGGTGTGATTTCTATGTTGTCAGATCCTGGTCATGGATACGGGGAGTTTAACCCCTCGCCTACAGGGCACTTCTACCCCCTTCCTGCCTACAGGGCACTTCTACCCCCTTCCTGCCTACAGGACACTTCTACCCCCTTCCTGCCTACCGGGCACTTCTACCCCCCTTCCTGCCTACAGGGCACTTCTACCCCCTTCCTGCCTACAGGGCACTTCTACCCCCTTCCTGCCTACCGGCACTTCTACCCCCCTCCTGCCTACCGGACACTTCTACCCCCTTCCTGTCCAGGCCAATTTCCAGCTTTCAGTGCTGTCACACTTTGAATGACAATTGCGCGGTCATGCAACACTGTACCCATATGAAATTTTTATCATTTTTTGTGACAGATAGAGCTTTATTTTGGTGGTATTTAATCACCTCGGGGATTTTTATTTTTTCTCAAACAAACCAAAAACCACTGAAAATGTTGAAAAAAATATGTTTTTGTTATAAAATTTTGTAAATAAGTGATTTTTCTCCTTCAGGCTGCAGTGATGGGCACTGATAGGCTGCACTGATGGGCACTGATGAGGAGGCACTGGTAGGTGGCACTGATGGGCATTGACAGGCATCACTGATGGGCACTGAAAGGCAGCACTCATATATGGCACTGACAGGTGGCACTGATAGGCGGCACTGACTGGCACTGTTAGGCGGCACTGAGAGGCAGCACTGACGGGCACTGATAGGCGGCACTTACTGGCACTAATAGGTGGCACTGATTGGCAGCAGTGATAGGTGGCACTGACTGGCATTGATAGGTGGCACTGACTGACACTGATGGGTTACACTGAAAGGCAGCTCAGATGCGCACTGAAATGTGGCACTGAGTGGCACTGGCAGGTGGCATGGATGAGCACTGACAGCTGGCACTGATGGACACTGACAGGTGGCACTGCTGGGGCTACACAGATTATCAGGGCACACTGATCATCAGTCCCCTGATGATCAGTGTAGATGTCCCCTCCGAGGAATGCCGATTACCGGCTCTCCTCTCCTCTCCTCTGTCAGCGTGACAGCTCGTGGGGAGAGAAATGCTGATAACTGGCATTTCCCTGTTTACATGCGATCAGCTGTGATTGGACACAGCTGATCACATGACCAAGCTGACATCTTCGGCTCTTTCCATAGATCGGTGATCCACTGTGTCTGAGGAACACAGCGCACCACCGATCGCCACGCTGCGCGTTCCCGGAGCCACGCATGCGCGGTTAGAATGGGAGGACATCATATGACGTCCTCCCAGAACGAGAGAACCGCCTTGCACCCGTCATTGGACTATTCGGCAGGCGGGAGGCGGTTAATGACAGGAGCGTCACAGACTTGGAATGCAAATATTTCTTACAAGGTGCCAATAATTTTGTCCATTTTTGGGGTTCTGCGTGGAATGCGTCAGATTTGGCTTTTTGTTTCTCCACTTTTTTGTGTCACCAATACAAGCCAAAGAAGCAAAGGTGAGAATGATGAAACATTTGTCATTGCGGGCAATTTTCTGGGTGAAGTGGTGCCTCAGCGGATAAATTGCGGGGATGCCGATCATTTCGGCCATGATCGTATCTGTATGTTCTATCATTTGTACGGAACGTATGATACCTCCGAAGTTGGGTGGTTCTGCCTTCTCCTTCGGCCTCACATCTCCATTTAATCGCCGTAATTCTCAGTCTTTAATCCGTGTCATTTATTTTCCACAGGTGTGCAATTTCCCGTAATGGTCGGATATTACAGAGGGAAAAAAAAATCTTTACTTTCTGCGCGGAAATCTGACATTATTTATTATTCTGTATTAATGAGAAGATGACATCGTGTGTCACAATCTGAAATGTCCTCTTATTTTCTAATGAATCTAAAAATAGACACACGTGTAATTGATACGAATGGTTCTCGCAATACCCATCGTCCCCCCCCCCCCCCCCCCCCTCGGTGTCTCCCTGTAATAAACAGACCGCATGCCTTGCTTATTAAACGCCGTTGGAGAGGGATCAGCTGTTGGCGATGTTTGTTTTCTAAGCGTTTGATACGTTTTTCATGGATTAGGAGCGCGGAGGGTGTTATTGCGGCCCTCAATCTAAAGTGTGACACCGTACGATCCGCAGGTCACCGGAAAACACGGAAATGTGGAATGCAGCGTTCCTGTGGATCCCGGAGGGGACTGGATGTAGAGGACGCCATTAGGCGGCAATTTTAGAGGAACGTTTTTGTTCTCCAATGGATACAAAAAAAATTGTGTAAACCCCACATCTGCATTAGGGACCCCTAAAATGGGATCTGTTCTTCATCTGGGACCTTCTTCTTTTGAGCCCCCTTTCCTGATTCTGTCCCCCACCCCCCCATCCCCAGCACATTTGGACAGTCAGGAGTTGCTCTCTTTATTGCAGCTTTCACACAGAACCAGGGGCGGACTGACAACTTATGGGGTCCCTGGGCAATAGGGGATCATGGGGCCCCTGTATCCTTGCCCAAACTCAAAAAAGCCTATGACAAAGGTACCAGGATCATCTCATGGGGCCCCCTACTGATCCCGGGCCCTCGGGAAGTGCCCGAGTTTCCAAATGATCAGTCCACCCCTGCACAGAATACTATTCAGAAGATTTGTTCAGAAATACAATGTAACAACATTATTGTTACATTGTACTTAGAGCAGGTCTTCACCCAT